TGCGACTGGAAGAACCACAACAATGGAAGGGGGGCTCATACTGGCAGATTTGGAAACGATCTGGGGACCCTTCTCTGCCTCAGCATTCCAGGGCTGTCATGGTTTCTCCGCAGCTGGGCACAAACATACAGGTCCCTGGTCCGAACTCCTCTCGCGGATGCTCTGCCAAGATATGCTGGGGAATCACAAGTTGGGGGCATTGCTGGAAGGGGAGTGGATCTAGCTGGCCTAGCTATGCGCACGTTTCAGAATATTGCCGACATCGAGCACACCTCCATCATGTACCTTCTCATCGACGTAGTACAGGTTTTCTACAAATCGGTCCGACAGCTGGTCATGCGATCAGGACACACACAGGAGGACCGAGCTTTACTACTCAAGACGACAGGCCTACCACCGGAGGCCATGCAGCGTCTTATGGAGAGGTTACGTACGCAGGATACCAGTCTCACTACAGCTAGAGTTGGTCCTCATGTCCAGGCCCTAGTGGCCTCATCCTACCAAGGTGCGTGGTTTCACTACCCAGGCTCATCTCTGGTCGCCTATTCTATGATTGGGACGGTCCCGGGGCAACAGCTGGGAAATGTCATTTTCAATTTCATCATGGCCGAGTGTATGCATCTAGCTAAGGACCAACTCCAGCACTTGGATCTTGCATTTAAGGTACCCACGCTGCCAGGAGCTTCTCTCGCACAGATGATGGAGCATGAACCGGCAGCGACACAACCAGCCTTAGATGTGCTATTTTTCGACGACGGCGCGTTTGCCATGATAGGCGAACCACTCAAGCTGCTGGACCAAGTGCCTCAGATTGCAGGCGCAGTGGCAGCTTCATTTGCGTCCAGAGGTCTTTCTCTCAATTTCAAGCCTGGGAAGACGGAGATCCTCTTCCAATTTCACGGTCAACATGCTAGAGCGGCTCAGCTCAAGCTGTTGAAGCACATGAAAGGCAAGTGGGAATGGGAGGACCACATCATGGGGCACATGAGTCTCAGCGCTGTGAGGCAATACCCCCACTTGGGCACCATCTTGGATGAAAGAGGCAGTCTGGGCCCCGAAGTGGCTCATCGTATCGCGGGCACTACCTCTTCGGCGAATGTCTTGGGCAGGAAAGTTTTCAAAGTGGTCCCCAAGAGCCCCGAGGCCCTCATCATGAAGATGCGTTTTGTGGACTCCCTACTTACCTCTTCTTTGTTGTTCAATGCTGGCACGTGGTGTAATTTGGAACGTGGTGCACGCGACAAACTTAGGCATACTATGCTGCGGAGATACAGGTCAGCGTGTGGCATGCCACAATGTGACGACACTGCTGCAGCGGATCGTACAGTGCTTGCTACGGTACAGAGGTCCGACCTGTCAGACCAACTTCGCGTCCACAGATTACGTCTCCTGGGCAGGGTCATCCATTTTGGGTCCGACGCTATCAAGGGCCTTCTCACCACGGCCTATAGGGCCTACGCGGGACCCAAGGACAAAACCTCCTGGCCCCATCGAGTTACGGACGATTTGGTCTGGCTCAGAACAGTAAGTAGGCAGCTTCGGGAGCTACCGGACCCGCGCGACGACTTTGCACCATGGGGGCGAAGAGTCCAGTCTTCTCTTCCTGCTTGGAAGCGCCATCTCAAGGAGGCCATAGCAGGGTCGGCACGAGCGGATGCGAATGCGGCTCTTGCAGAGGGAGCTGCAAAGAAGTTTTTCACACACGTCCAGCCTAGCGGCTTCCCGTTGCCCATCGCAGATCCCGAGCACCCATTGCGACAGGCAGAAATCATTTCGCAGCCCGACCTCGCTTGCCCTTGGTGTGCGACACATTTCCACAAGCCCAGGTCCCTACGGCAGCACATCGTTCAGAATCACTTCCGTATGGTGTCACAGGTTGAACGATTTCTTGGACGCAGCTCAGAATGCCAGGCCTGTTGCACGGAATTTGCCTCGAGAAGGCAGCTGCGTGATCATCTTGCATGCGACTCAGCTAGATGCTGTCTCGCGTGCATGTGCCGAGGTCAGCAGCTGGGGCACGAAGAGGCGGTCAAGGCCGCTGAGGAAGATAGGATGCTGTGTGCCAAGAGGAGAAAGGACGGTCTTGGGCGCTGGCGCGCGGCTTATCCTGCTACGCTGGGCACCAAGGGGTGTCTTTGGGAGTCTGCTTGGGTTTTCTCGCATCTCACGGAGTTAGAGGCTCGACAAGTCCTGCGAGAGACCCATTGCGAGTTCCCCATCGAGGCCCTGCCCATCCTACTACGTGCTTGGTACGACTCCCGCGGGGCCCCATCATTGGAACCGCCACGGGCCCACTACGAGGACAGGTATTATATCTTCCGACCTAACGACTACTGTGGCGTATCGACTATGGCTTTGCCGTGCAAGTTACGCCGGCCCGAAGTATTCATATTGAATCTCTTTTGTGGTCGACGCCGAAAGGGCGACATTCAATGGCATCTTTCTGACCTTCAGGCCACATCTGACATCCAAGTCACCACGCTGTCTCTGGACATTGCCATCGACCACGTCTGGGGAGATCTGACTCGCGAGGCCACAATTCAAGAATGGTCTGAGCACATACGTCACCACAGGGTTTGGATTACTGGGGGGGGGGCACCATGCGAGACTTGGAGTGCAGCTCGCTGGAACGACGCCCCCCCCCCCCCCCTTTGCGCGCGCAATCTTACATCTGGGGAGTGCCATGGTGTTCAGAGGAGCAACACAAGCAGGTGCGGACGGGCAATCTTTTACTGTTTACAATTGCCCAACTGCTCGCTGAACATATTCGAGCAGGCACGTGCGGGTGGATAGAACATCCACCGCCTGCTCTCTGGCGCCCACCAGCACCTTCCAGTTTCCAGTGGATGCCTATGCGTGCGCTAGAGAGTTGCCCACTTGTCAGTACCATCCAGTTTGATCAGTGTATGCATCGTGACGGGAATCCTCAGGAGCACGGGGAAGGAACTACACGCATCCTGGCCCTACGTCTACCTCGTCTCTACGGTTTGCTAAAAGCTCGTAGCAATGGTTTTTGCGACCATGGGAAGAATGTTCACTTGTCTCTGGTGGGCAAGAATAGCGACGGTACTTTCAAAACGAGTTGCAAGAATACGTACCCCCCCCATCCATGTGCAGTGCTATTGCTACAGCCATGTGGTACGCAGTTTTTGCAGCTTTTAACTCGGAGGCAGGAGATCCTCCAGAACTCCCTGATACATCGGATTTCGACGAAGCAGTACTACGACAATTTTATGTGCCCTGGTCGGACCACGATCAGTTCTGGGAGGCTCCCGACTATGCCGGCGGCCTCAGGGTCAAACGTAAAGTTGATCCCGAAAGGTGGCGTTGGGACCCCCCCGACTCCCCTTCCTCCGCCTCTTCCCCTGCCCCTGCCGTGCCTCCCGAGGTTCCTATGCCCGAGGCCCCAGAGGATCCGCGGCCGCAGGCGTCCGCTGGCGACGCCGTGGAGGAGGCGGCCTGCCCCGCCTCTGGCTCGGCTTCCTTTGCCGTCCCCCTTCCTCCTCCTCCTCCTCAGCTGGCTCAGCTCACGACTGAGCAGCTTGAACGCATTAGAAGGAACCGTGCAGAAGCCAAAGAGCGCAAGCGCAAACGCCTTGCGCCTTGGCACTTCGAGGCCATTCTGTGGCCACACGGGTAATTTGTCTTGTTCCTTTTTCGGCCCCTGGGTGACATCGGCCCCGCGGACCTTCAAGGAACTCGACCACTAGAGACAAACAGAGCACGACCCAGCGTCCCAGCCTGCGTCCGACCGACCTCCCTCCTCCCTCCTCCCTCCTCCCTCCTCCCTCCTCCCTCCTCCCTCCTCCCTCCTCCGCCACGCGGTTGCCCCAGGTGGCCCCTGCAAGGCTTCAGAAAGCACCCTGAAGCCTCGGTTCTCGTTCCTCGATCGTCGTCGTCGTCGGCGGCGGCGGCGTCGTCGTCGTCGTCGTCGTAGTTGTCGTTATCATCGTCGGCGGCGGCGGCGGCGGCGGCCGGCGTCGTCGTCGTCGTCGTCGTCGGCGGCGGCGGCGGCGCTGGCGTTCTCGGCGCCGTCCATGGAAGTCCTAGGCATGTTGTTTTTGGTGGAAGCCTCCAGGGGATCCTCGGGGGGAAATCCTTCATTCGAGTGAGCCTCCAGAGGGTCTTCGGGGAGCTCCTGGATCACAAGGGGCCCCTGGGAAACCCCAAGCGATCCCCAAGCGACCCACGACGCACGCAGAAACACGACAGCGTAGGCCACACTCTTGGTAAATGCGGCCGCCCGCGGAGGGGTGCGGCGGAGTCGGGCAGACGGGGCAAGAGCCGAACGCGTCTGGCCCTCGCGCAGCCACGGTGGGGTGGCGCACACGCGCACACGCGCACACGCGCTCACGCGCGCGCGCACGCACGCACGCACGCGCCCACGCACGCACGCACGCGCGCACGCACGGCATGCCCACCCCCACACACAGACACACAGACACACAGACACACAGGAACACAGGCACACAGGCACACAGGCACAGTGGCACACAGACACACAGACGCACAGCCACACAGTCACAGACATACATACACACAGACACACAGACACAGACACACACAGACACACAGACACACAGACACACAGACACACAGACACACACACATTCCCTCAGCAGCCGAGTGACGTGACTACAGCGAGAGCTACAATTGGGCCCCTTCGGGCGTCCATCCCACCCGGCGTTGCAGATGGGGGACCGCGCCGGGCAACCAGGCGTGCAAATCCAAAAGCAAGGAGCGCACACACAAAGAGAAGCCTCGACATCCTCGTTCTTGGATCGTCGTTCGTCGCCGCTGTCGTCCACGGGAAGCCCGAATCGGGTGGGGGGCTGGGACGAGGGCAAATCCGTTCCAGAGCTCTCCGTGACGAGCGTGCCAGAAC